TTCGAAAGAACTATCGCAACTGACTTAATGATTTAAAATACGCCAGTTTGATGAGTCGACTGACACTTGTCTATTAAAGATCATACTATATATTCTGAAGAGACTCTTTGTATAAATGACTACTCACGTGAGTTTCATCTTCGTTCATTATATCTATTTATTTTTTGTTGGTATTTAGTAATTTACGAATTCAGCTGTCAGATGTATGTATGATTTTTGCAACTATTCTATGTAATTTTATTTCGTATGTTATTTACGTGCTTTTAAGATTCAAATTTATACGAAAGGTTATGTGTAAATTTAGGCATATGTGCATATATTCAATATGGTGATAATTTTACATGTAGCTACGATAATAATCATGATCATAATGATAATGGTAACAATAATGATAATAGTAGTGGAAGTAATAATGATTATTATGATGATAACAATGATAATGATAACAATAATAATGAAAAATGATTGTAATTCAATTAATCAGCAATTAAAGACCTCAGAAGGGAGAGACTTGGGTTAGACGCTCAGTGTACCTAGAATGAGATTATTTTTGCGTTTCATGGATTAGCGTATCATGCCAGTATGTTACTAGCCTTTGTTTGCGCCCGAATACCCTGCCGTCTCTCTCTTTTCAAATCTGGGTCAATCAGATGGCTGTTTCTAGAAGAGGGTCAGTGACAATGACCGTGCCTCTAGGGGTAACTTTTGGGCGATTTTCAAGAATGCGCAGGAAATAGGCATTCAGGGGAGGGACATTTCGGCCCGGCGCGTCGCATAGCACGTGTTTACCAGTGTTTGACAATGTCTCCGAAAATAGTGTAATATATCTAATACCTGTGTAAAGTGAGAATTAATTGTATGAGAATAGCTCATTAACGACGATGAAGCCGCTCGAAGAGTGTTGTCTATTATTTGCTATCTCCAAAGAAAAAAACAACGAGAGTGAGGCCTTACTTAAATAATAGTAACAACTTTGATGACTGTAGAGAACCTCTGCTGAAGGCGAGGTTCCAAGTGAGAGAACGTTTCTGGCCTTGCATTTATTTAAGGTGTACCAAGTGTCTTTCACTTTGCATTTATTCCCTGGCCATAAGTTACAAATAGAACAAAATTCACTAGTCAGGTTATACAACACAAACGTTTAGTAATACGGCCGTTAGCCTCAGAGTGGAGAACTAAACTCAGCCTGAGAGTTACGCAGTCGGCAAGTTAAGCAGTTAGCGTGCACGACCAGATGGTAGGTGAAGCAACAGCCTCGTGCAGGTGTAGTTAATTCAGCACACCTGCTTCTTATACGGTTGGCGACGGCAGTCCCGCGCAACGATGGGCGTGGAAGCCGTGCAGAAGCGTACTCAAGTCGGGAGGGAGAGACGCGAGGGCAGCCGATGCTGCAACCTAACGCCGATGCACATGCCAGTGCGTCTACTTTTTCAGGCAGGCTATGAAATAAATGTCGCTTAGAAAATATTTAATGTTCCTCAACATTATGAAATACTTTGCATGTTTTACTCACACATCATAAAGAAGAAATCTTAAGAAATAACAAAAAATATAATTGTTAATTCACAGTTATAATAATTCAGAAACATCGACAGTTCCTCGGTGTGGAAGTATGGAAATTTTTCCACACAAACAACAATGATAAGGATAGAGAAATTAACGATAATGATAATGATAATAACAGTCATAAGACTCTGTGGACCCCCCTCAAGGTCTGCCTCCTCCGTCACCTTTTATTATTATTTTTATTTTTTACTAAATTACACCTATGTAAGTTCGGTTATAACTTAAAATGTCTCTAGAATAACTCTTTCTTGCCCCACCCTCCCCGGAAAAAGCTAAAACTGTAGTGCCTAATTATGTTTACCAGAACGAATCGCCTTTATATGTGTTTTAAAATTTCATACAAATTTGTTTTCAGTTTCTTGCTGATATTACTGTAGCCACTGATTAAGACATGAATTACTTTTAGTTAAAATATAGAGGTATCACTGTGCAGGGGAACTAAAACATTTGCATAAAACATACAACATTTATTTGGTGCATTAATAAAACAAATACACAAATAACAGATCAAACTGAACATACCTCAGGAAGGACAAACACTTCACTTCTATTCTAAAAACGAACACAAACATACCCGTGGTGTTATTAAGCATAGTTATTCCACTGCCAGTTAAGAAAAGTGTTTTAATAAATATCAGTAATGCTCTAGTACTTAACTTATATGTCGGCGATTACGTGGGTGCATCGAAGTAAAATTTATTAAAAAATCTAAAATCAGTAAGACAAGTAATAAACGAGTAAACAAGTAAAAGATTTAAATAAACGAATAAAATAGGTGAACATATGCGTTTACAAGTAAAACAGGTGCGAAAACGATCAAAACTGCAACAATAACAACAAAAACACGAAATTGAACTTCCGTCCATTACAAAATGATGCCCCGGTTTTAATGTAATCTTGGAAGAAAGTAAATTATTCAAAATCAGTTACCCAT